ACACACACACACACACACACACACACACACATGCATTTAAGGCATGGAAGTTTCCTTATATTCCCTTTTCAGTTCTGGTCCAGAAAAACACTCATCTCAATACAAACATTCACCATTAAATCCCTCAGTGATGAGGGACATTAGAGTGCTTATTACTTTTTTTTATTTAACTTGTTTTAGTCTTGCTTAAATATGTTTCCTGTTTGTGATCCAAAGATAATTTTCCACACACCGGTGGTTCTTACTGATTGTCTGTGGATGAGGACAGAGCGATGACTGGTCCCAGTTTCTGATTTGTTGGTTTCTTCACCAACACATCCTGAGTGATTAATGTGCTGATCCCTGAGCTGATAAAGAAACAATTACTAGTAAAGTAAAATACTTTGCCTCTTAAAYTATTATCAACCCAGCATCAATACACAGGAAATGCATCCTTATAACTTTAACTTGATAGTATTGTTGTTTGATAAACCCATTGTCTCCAAAGAAAAACAGTTTCTGATTTGATTGGTTCATACTTATAAGTATCTTAATGAGGACAATAAATTAGCTATAAACTTGTTAACTCAGATCAATAGAATAGAATCAGAAATAGCCTTTATTGAGCTTCTAAACCAGTGAAATTAATTATTTCACAGTAACATCCTGTTTCAGCACGCCATCTAGTGGTTACTAAGGAGTATTGCAACGATGCTTAAAATGACACCCTTCGAGCTCCTGTAAGTGTAGACATGATGAAATTAATTACTAAAAAATCGCAGTTTTAATAACTTTTAATTAAAGAAAGATAATTTAATAAAAGTCACTAAAACAACTTGATACTGATAAAAAACGTCTTCTTTTGGCTGTTTTTCCAGGTTTTGCCACATCCTCCTCCATCTCACTGTCTTCTCTAACTGCATCCATTTATGTTTTTTTTTCCTGACAGCTGCATCCTTGTACAGTTATACCCTCTGTCCTGTAGCCTGGGCCTTGCCTTCCTACGCAGTTACCAGGCTAATTGTCCCGCTGTCCTCATACATGTCCTGTAATATACTCTGTCAGTTAAGACAGACTGAACCCTGCTCAAATGCTGAGCCTTGCTGTCCCTCCACTTGGTCCCTTACCCACATAAAACTTTTCTTCTCAGCATCATGTCAGCCAGCTCTTTGCTGCACATATTTCCTACATGAGTCTTCACTTAGTAGACTTTTGACTTTCTTCTTCTCCGTTTCCTGATGGTGTTAACAGTAGCACAATTTCCACTGACCTTTAACAATGGGATCAATCATTAATCTAGGCCTTAGTTGATCTGGTTTGTTGTTGTTCAAATTTCCATGTTGACCGTGGTTGAACACGTCACCATTTATCTCAGTAAATATATTACTAGAGTTGCTAATGACATGAAATTTTCACCAGATGTCGGTAACAACCCAAGTGATCCATACATACAAAGAAATCAAACCATAAATAATAATAATAATAATA